CAAATGTTAGGATCAGTGCTATTTAAAGGCATGTTATTTCCAAGTTGTACACTATAATGGGACTTACCCCATTAAAAAATCCACTTTTGCATTATAAACAATCTTGATAAATTCTTGTTGACAGGATAGAGATATCTTTTCATTTCTTGATATCAGGTGGTAGGGTGTCCCATGAGACATAAGGGTAATGGTATTCATCAAGCTGTATTTTAGGGAACATTCAATTTTTAAAAAAAATCAATTCAAGCAAAAAGGGTAAAAAAATCCTATAAACAATTACTGTAGTCTGTAGCAGGGAGTACAGGACAAAACATTATCAAAAAGTTTAAAACACTCCTGTACATTACAGTAACAATACCACAACCACCCCCACCCCCTTCTCAAATATTCTAATTGCCATCACATGTAGGGAATCATTAATGTGTCTGTGATATTTCCAAAATAAGTCATCTTTCAACGGAAAAAAAACCCCATGGACTCACCCTTAATAAGATTCACACTATTGCATTAAAAACAATCTTGATAAATAATCCATTTCCTTTCTCATCAGAACAGGAACTGAAATTTAAAAAAGAAAAAGTTGACATTTAAAAATATAAGTAAAGCAGCCCTAGAATATCTCAATTTCAGGTAAATCAGTATCAGTAGGCATTGACAAAAAGTTTTCGATAGCCAAAAATTACATAATAGAATTATAAGATCTATGCCTACATGATTTACAATGAAACCTGTTATAACGCATACTGTTAAAACTCAAGTCAAATGTGTGTCTTTTGCAGGTTAAAAAATCTTTCCATGTGTGCTTTATCAAATATGCCAGGGCCAGTGCTATTTAAAAATTAAATTTCAGAAAATTTCAAATTTCACTGTACACATCAAGTAAGGCTATGTGCACCAGATTTACCTAAATGCTTTGGTCCATGTCCAGCCTAAACATCTTAAAAGTTTATGTCACATAAAAGGTGTCTAAACTTTCTTGCACTACTCATTTTTTTATAAGGGAGCATTAATTTTTTTTTTTAAAGGTAACTTGTTTTTAGTCTTAAAAGGGTGGTGTGGGGGGGGGGGGGGTTAAATAGGCAAAAAACTATGGAAAACTACCGGCAGGGGATTTGAAAGTGACATACATTTCTCTCTATTTGAGTAAAAATGCCACCACCCCCCCTCAAATATTCTAATTTATGTTATTTCCAAGTTGTACACTATAATGGGACTTACCCCATTAAAAAATCCACTTTTGCATTATAAACAATCTTGATAAATTCTTGTTGACAGGATAGAGATATCTTTTCATTTCTTGATATCAGGTGGTAGGGTGTCCCATGAGACATAAGGGTAATGGTATTCATCAAGCTGTATTTTAGGGAACATTCAATTTTTAAAAAAAATCAATTCAAGCAAAAAGGGTAAAAAAATCCTATAAACAATTACTGTAGTCTGTAGCAGGGAGTACAGGACAAAACATTATCAAAAAGTTTAAAACACTCCTGTACATTACAGTAACAATACCACAACCACCCCCACCCCCTTCTCAAATATTCTAATTGCCATCACATGTAGGGAATCATTAATGTGTCTGTGATATTTCCAAAATAAGTCATCTTTCAACGGAAAAAAAACCCCATGGACTCACCCTTAATAAGATTCACACTATTGCATTAAAAACAATCTTGATAAATAATCCATTTCCTTTCTCATCAGAACAGGAACTGAAATTTAAAAAAGAAAAAGTTGACATTTAAAAATATAAGTAAAGCAGCCCTAGAATATCTCAATTTCAGGTAAATCAGTATCAGTAAGCATTGACAAAAAGTTTTCAATAGCCAAAAATTACATAATAGAATTATAAGACCTATGCCTACATGATTTACAATGAAACCTGTTATAATGCATACTGTTAAAACTCAAGACAAATGTGTGTCTTTTGCAGGTTAAAAAATCTTTCCATGTGTGCTTTATCACATATGCCAGGGCCAGTGCTATTTAAAAATTAAATTTCAGAAAATTTCAAATTTCACTGTACACATCAAGTAGGGCTATGTGCACCAGATTTACCTAAATGCTTTGGTCCATATCCAGCCTAAACATCTTAAAAGGTTATGTCACATAAAAGGTGTCTAAACTTTCTTGCACTACTCATTTTTTTTTTATAAGGAAGCATAATTTTTTTTTTTAAAGGTAACTTGTTTTTAGTCTTAAAAGTGTGGTGTGGGGGGGGGGGTTGTTAAATAGGCAAAATACTATGGAGAACTACCGGCAGGTGATTTGAAAGTGACATACATTTCTCTCTATTTGAGTAAGAATGCCACCACCCCCTCTCAAATATTCTAATTGCCAGAACATGTTGGGAATCCCTAACGTGTCGTAATCTAAGTAATTTTTAAAAAAAACAAAAAAAACCATGGGATTTACTCTTTAGAATAAGTTTCAGCCATTGCACTATAAAGAATCTTCATGAATATTCCCTTTCAATTTGTCATCAGAACAGGAACTGAAAATAAATTTTTAAAATTTGACATTTAAAATAAACTAAGTAAAGCAACCCTATAATACATCAACATCAGGTACCAATTCATAAAATATGGCATATAATAAGATATGAAAAAATCGGAAGCCTAAATGA